GTTCGTCATTCTGGGGCTTTCGGCAGGTTTGACTGGGAGCTTCCTTGAACGGTAAACCCCGCTTACACTGGGGAGTCATGACGCAGATGAAGCTCTGTGGAGGGCGACGCCGATGGTCGTCAGCTGCCGGCGAGGGCCGCACGCTGTGAGTAGCTGTCGCTTCTGCGTGCTCTGGCCGTGGGCACCTGCCTGGCCTCGAGGACTGGCAGGTCGCTGTGAGACGAGCTCTTCCTCCCCCAGTCTGTCTTGACCACCCCTCGTGAAAGCGACGGGCAGTTGAGTCGATTCGCGCCTTGGCGCACGTGCGGCGTCCGGCTGGCGGCGCCCGGCGGGCGGTGCGCGCCTGTGCCACAGCGCTGCTTTCCCGCCAAGGACTCGGACCAAGGCTCAGCCCAGAGCAAGGAGCACCGGCCAGGACCCATCGGCAACGAGCGCTCCCTGAAGAACAGAAAGGGCTCGGAGGGGGCCGAGCGCCTGCAGGGACCCGCCGTCCCGCCGGTCAACGGGGTGGAGATCCACGCGGGCCCTGTGCTGCCAGTGCCGCCCATCGAGTTTGGAGTCAGCCCAAAAGTGAGGCTTCGCCGTGTCCCGGCCCGACGCCGCTCCCGGTGCTCTGAGGGAGGGGACAGCTCCTGGGGCGCGGGGGGCAGGTCCCGCCAGCTGCCGTCTGGCGGGCGGCGGGCGTCCCGGGACCCCGCCGAGGGCTGAGCCGGCCACCCAGCGGGCTGTCTGCCCCGTCTCCAGGACTCGGACTTCAGCCTGCCGCCCGGCTCTGCCTCTGGTCCTGCGGGGAACCCGGTCGTCAAGCTTCAGGATGCCCTGGCCAGTAACGTGAGTCTGCTGCCCCCAGCTCGGTGCCCTGGCCGCTCTCTGCATGGCTTCCTGGCCGCGACCCGTCTGCTAGCTCACCTCCTTGGCCCAGGGGTTCAGTGTTCCACAGCCAGCCTGTGACCTCACCCTGGGCTGAAGTGAATGTGGAGGTTGGGTTTGTGTGCCGCTTTGATTCTCCGGTCTTCTGAGCTCTCAGTCTGCTACCAGAGGCCTCTTGGTTTCCCGGGCAGTGGGGGTGGGGTGCGGGCTGAGAGAGGACTTGGGGGAGTTGCCCAGCAAGGAGACGGTGCCCGGGTGCGCCCAGTGGGCTTGTTGACAGGGGCCGCGTGGGCGGCAGTCTGGAGCTCAGCCGTGGCCCCAAGAACATCTGGCCTAAACTGGAGGTGCAGTTGACGATGTTCTGCCGTCCTGGCCGTCTGTCCCCCAGGCCGGGCTGACACAGAGCATCCCCATCCTCCGGCGCGACCACCACATGCAGCGGGCCATCGGACTCTCCCAGATGTCCTTCCCCACCGCCGACCTCACTCTGAAGGTGACCTGGCTCAGCCCCGGGCCGGCCACCGCGTCCTGGGCCGGGGCGGGGGAGCAGCTCCCCCCACTGCTTCCCTGGCGGTAACTTGCGCCCCTCCCCTTGCTTCTAAAGATGGAGTCTGCACGCAAAGCGTGGGAGAACTCGCCCAGTCTGCCTGAGCAGAGCTCTCCGGGGGGCGCTGGCTCCGGCATCCAGCCCCCCTCCTCCGTGGGAGCGTCCAGCGGGGTCAGCTACAGCTCCTTCGGGGGAGTGTCCATGCCGCCCATGCCCGTGGCGTCCGTGGCACCTTCTGCTTCCCTTCCAGGTGTCTCATTCTTCTCTCTGGGTTGACTTGGCACCACCCCGATTCAGTGGAGCGGAGGGCTGGGCGGTCAGCACTTCCCTCGAGCTGCGGAATCTAGCATTTCGGCTCTCCACCTCCCAGGCCGAGGAGCGGGGCGCAGCCAGCACACCCCTGGCCTGGCCGGTCCCGGGTCCATTGCGTGCCTCGACCCTGGGCACAGCTCCACCCACCGTGGGGCCAGGCAGGGAGGGCGGTCCGAGGGCTGGCTGCTCTGGTGGCCCCCGAGCACTCCCAGGTGGGGGCTGGCTCCCCCGAGTGCTGGTGTCCGAGCTAGGCGGGAGCTGCCCCGTCTCCGTGATGCAAGTCCAATAGATCCTTCTGATCTCCGCTGTGCACTCGCTATCAGGGAGGTGAAGAGGAGCGTGGCTGAGAGACTGAGCGGCTGTTTCCGCGGCCCCTTCCTTCCTGGGTGTGGGGCAGCCGGGTGGAGGGCCGAAGCTCACCCCACCCCAGGTCCTGACACTGCACCCTCAGCCAGGGTGTCCTCAGTGGGGTGGGGTGCAGGACGCCTGGGTCTGAGCAGGCTCTGTGCGCCTTCCCCCGTCGAGACCAAGGAGAGAGCAGGTGAGAGTCCGAGAGGCTTCTCAGGGCAATGAGGCTTCATCCTTCTCCCTCCCTTCTGGGCTCTGTTTCTAGGTAACCACCTGCCACCTCTGTACCTGGACGGCCACGTGTTTGCAAGTCAGCCCCGGCTGGTTCCTCAAACGATACCTCAGCAGCAGAGTTTCCAACAGGTGAGACCACGGGCCGGGTGGACAGGGAGCAGCATGGGCTGGGGTCCCTCTCTCCAGCCGCTGCCGTCTTTGGTTCTGTGCCCCATCTAATGCCCAGCACCTGGGTCTCCCGGGCCAGCAAACACTCACCCCGTGAGCGGCGTGGAGGCGGCGTGAGCCCAGTTCTCTGGCGCCGCCTGGTATCCCTCCCTTCAAGTGTCCCTTCCTGTGCCCCGGGCGGGGAATTAGCTGAGATGAATTCTCTTGGTGGCCAGTTGCCCTGAGGAAGGGAAGAGAGGCCTGGAGCCTTAGAGGCCATTTCAGCGGCCAGTGGGGTTTGTGCGTTTGCTGGATTGGCTGTGTCCTGTGGGAAGGGGAAGGGCTTGGGCGCTGGTGCTGGCCTGCTGCCTGGGGTGGCCGCCCCGGCCCCAGACCGGTGGGCAAGTGGGGACCGCAGTGCAGATGCCAGGGCAGCAGACACCGGCTCTCTGAAAGGTGCTCCGCGCCGATTCTGAGCGCTTGGCCTGTGACCCGCCTGGCCGCGCCTCCTGCGCCGCCTCTGGGCGCCTCCCCTCACCCTGCGCTGCCCGTGTGGTGGCGCCAGGTCCCACCTCGGTGCCGTGCAGAACCAGCACTGGGCCTGGGGTTGCTGCCAGCTGCTGTTTCCCAGGAATGGGGCTGCGGGGCAGTACGCTCCAGAGCGTGGGGGGCAGAGCTCCTGTGCCCTGCCGGGCCTGGGGCGGGCGGGGCCGCCGGGCACCGCCTGACAGTCTGGCTCCTCCCACAGGCTGCGGCTGCCCAGCAGATCCCCATTTCCCTCCACACGTCCCTGCAGGCCCAGGCCCAGCTTGGGCTGAGGGGCGGGCTCCCTGCCTCCCAGTCCCAGGAGATCTTCAGCTCCTTACAGCCCTTCAGGTGAGCTGCAAGGACGTGGGTGGGCGGGCCGCCCCCCGCCCTCGGGCCCGCGCGCTGCTTCCCGCTCCCTGCCCTGGCGTGTGTTGGTCTTTCAGCCTGTCCACGGCTCTCGTTGGCTGCCGCAGCATAAGCCGCAGGCCTCGGCGTGCTCTGGCGTCCGCCGCCTGTGCGCCCCTCTCTGTCTGTCTGTCTGTCTCTCTCCTTTCTCTCCTGGGCCTGGCACAACCTGGTCGCATCTGTTCAACCCGGTGTTACTCAGATGCTAAAGCAGCAACGTCCACACTTTCTCTGTTACAGGCGGGTCCTCAGGCCACACCCGCTGTCCTCTGGTTCAGGCCAGTGGCCTGTGCTGCCGAGCCTTGCCTGACCCCGGCTCACTCGCTCTCGAGCTCTGCGATGACCCTGGCGCCCTGTCTGCCTTCGCAGGTCTCAGGTGTACATGCACCCCAGCCTGTCGCCGCCCAGCGCCATGATCCTCTCGGGAGGCGCGGCCCTGAAGCCCCCGTTCTCCGCATTCCCGGGCATGCAGCCCTTGGAGATGGTGAAGCCGCAGTCGGGCTCGCCCTACCAGCCCCTGAGCGGGAGCCAGGCCCTGGTGTACGAGGGGCAGCTTGGCCAGGCCGCCGGCCTGGGCGCCTCCCAGATGCTGGACTCGCAGCTCCCGCAGGTCAGGACCCTCCCACCGCGCCACCCGCCTCTCGCGGCGGGTTCCTCTGTCCACCTCGATGCGTGCTGACGTGCGTCCGCGGCCCGTGACCACCCCGCTCGGGCCACGAGAGCCAGGCAGAGCCTCAGCTCCTTCGTCCCCGAGACACGGGTTTCCCCTCCGAACTCAGCACTTCTCCCATCAGCGTGGGCCTTGGAGAAGGGGGTCCCTCCTCCCCCCACACCTTAGGCCCGCCTGGCCCTCCGGCTGCCCGCGCGCCTTGCGATGGGTCCAGGCCCTGCCCCCTGGGCAGTCACGGGCCTTCGCTCCTCCCTCGGCCCTGCTCGGTCTCCCCGCCACAGTCCTGTGCTGGTGTTTGGTGCTGTCACTGTCAGTGTGGGGTGCCCCCGGCCCTCGGTACCCGTGAGCCCTGTCCCAGCGCCTGCTCTGCTCACAGTCCCATTTTGATGTGGTCGCTGCCAGAGCGGTCTCTCGGTCATCTCAGGCTCAGGGCCCCCGCCACCCCCACCCTGACCTTTCCAAGCCGCTCTCTCTGGTGACCCAGCTCTGCCCCCTTGTGTCGCCTGGTCTGGCACCCCCCTGTCCCGGCCAGCCCGCCCTGGCTTCTGGCCCAGTTCCTGGCCTGCAGCTTGCTTCTGGGGGCCTCCTGCCCGCCAGCACCTTCCTGTGTCACCAGAGACGGGCGTTGTGGCCCAGGGGGGCCCTCTGCGAGCTCCCCACCTGTGCTGTGGCGCCCCCACCCCGCCAGCCCCGTGAGGAGCGGTCTGCGTGCCTCCGCGCGCGGCCTGAGCCGGCTGGCCTGCTCTCATCCTGCCGGCGACCCGGCGACGCCACGTGGCCCCAGACCCTGCTCTTCGCTTGCTCACGGGGACACCTGGCCCCGACGCCGCCCCGGCCTCGGTGCGCCGGTGTGCCAGGCTCTGC